CTTCCCAGCGAACTCAGAGGTTGGAACGTAGATGATGTTGGCAAAAGCTTTCAAGTGCCTTGAGGTACCTCCTGTATGTGACCCATGTCTCACTGCCATATAGCAGGGTGGGGAGGACCACTGCTCAATATACGTGCAGATTTGTAGATAATTCCAGCTCTCTACAGCTGAAGACACGGTTTCGGAGTCTGCCAAACGCTTGATTTGCACATCTGATCCGATGTTGAATCTCTTCATCGATGTCTGTGGTGGTGGACAGGTGGGAGCCGAGATACTGATAGTGGGTAACATTAGAGAGGGCAGTACCGTTAAGCTGGTTGGATGGTGGAGGTGTGGCTGAGCCAGGGGCAGGATGAAAGAGAATCTGAGTCTTAATTACATTCACCTCAAGGCCGAAGTGCGCCTACGCATCTGCGTGGGTGTTCACTGTGAGCAACAAGGATGAGGTCGTCTGCATACTGCAGTTCAGTAATGGTACCACATTGAGATTCTGGGAGGAAGTTTTCTGCCTCAGGTATTAGTCTGTTTCGGAGGACTCGGGCGATAATCTTGCCAGCTATGGACAGCAGCGAGATACCACAGTTTGACCAGTCTTATTGACAACGGAAGCATCTTTTACGAGCTTGGGGGATTTCCTCCTTTTCCCATATATTCTCCAGGAGAGAGTGGAGACGGCTGGTAAGCTTTGTTATTTTTCACTTGTTTGATGGCGGTAGCTACCTCATCCAGGGATGGAGGATAGCTGGGGTGGGTCAGCTCTGGATGCTGAGGGACCTGCTGGGTAGTCAGGTCATCCACATCAGTGTTTCGGTTGAGCAATGAATGGTAGTGTTCTTTCCAGTGCTGAAGGATGCCTTCATCGTCCTTAATTATGAAGTTACAATCAGATGAGTGGAGGGGGGCTGCGCCATGAGTGATTGGCCCATAAAATGTTTTAGTGGAATTGAAAAATTCGCGCATCTTGTGTTGATCTGCAAATTTTTTTGTATTTCGTATGCTTTATTTTTCAACCAGTTTAGATTGTGAAGTTCGTGTGCTGGACCACCTCTTTCTTCTTGCGGAAGGTATCAGCTTCGGTTCGAGACTGGGGGTTGTTCTGCCAGTCAGTTAAAGCAGCACGTTTATCATCAACGAGTACATTGATTGCCGGGTCATTTTCATCAAACCAATCGTGGTGTATTCTTTCAATCTGGCTGAGGGTCTCGGCAGGTTTTTGTCATGACAGTGTCGAGAATATCCCATTTGGCATTGGGATTATAGATGTTTGCTGTTGGGTTGTTTATTAGCCCGTGGTCGAGCTGCTCTCTGAAAGTATGTGTTACTGTTGGATCCTCCAGACGCTTAGTGTTAAAACCTCTAATGGAGGCTTGCTGTCTTGGCCGTTCTGGGGTAACGTTAAGTGAGAGCTTGGCTCTGACGAGCCGATGATCAGTGTCGCAGTGGCCTGAGCCACGCATGGCTTGGGTGATGAGGACATCTCGGCGATCTCTTTCTCTGACAATGATGTAGTCAATGAGATGCCATTGTTTGGATCGTGGGTGTTGCCACGAACCCTTGAACTTGTTAGCCTGCCTAAACAAGGTATTGGTGATAGTGAGGTTGTGTGCAGCACACATGCTGAGGAGGAGTAGGCTGCTGGGATTACACTTGCCTAGTCCATTTCCTCCTTGTGGTTCCCTGCCATATATCAGCATCTCTGCCAACTCTGGCATTGAAATCACCAAGGAGCACAACCTTATCTTCTCTGGGGATAGAGGTTAGCACTTTGTCAAGGTTGGCATTAAAGGCCTCCTTGATGTCATCCTCTGCATCCAGTGTTGGGGCATATGCACTGATGAAAAAGGCATGACGGATTGATTCAGTGGGACTCAAAGCCTCATGAGGCGCTTGTTGATCCCAATAGGCATTTCAGTTAGCCTGTGTAGGATGCATTGGCAAATGGCAAAGCCAACTCCATAAGTGCGGTTTCTCTCTGCAGCAGGCTTACCCTTCCAGAAGAAGGTATAGCGAGACCCCCATTCTGTGAGTTGACCCTCGTCTAGGAGCCAGGACTCGCTAATGGCTGATATATCTTGTTATACCTAGCCAGCTCATTTGCAACAAGGGCGGTTCTTCTTTCAGGACGCTCATTTGTGCCAGTATCCAGAAGGGTGCTGACATTCCATGCAGTGACCATAAGAGGTTGCATGGTTTGTTTGTTTGTTTATCTGTGATTTTGATTGTGTTTTCTACCGCAAAAGGATGACCTTACTAAGTGCGGTTGCTCAGTCAGGGTGGTTCTTTAGGAAGACTATGTTTAGGGCACCTTTTCTAGTCCCCTCCCTATGTGGGGTGAGCAGAGTGGCTCCTCGAAAGGGCTGCTCAGTCGCACAGACAGGACCGGATTGTACTGCTGCCTAGATCCCAGTGCATAAACGACCATCTTATCTGTGTTGCCCATGTGCAGAGTTGTGACTAAAGACCTCTGGGAGTCATCTCTGCCTGTCCCCGTAGGTACGATGAACTGGATGATGGCTGTGTGTGAGTTGATTTATGTGGTGAGGCAGGAGCACAGGCTGCAACCACACATCTTGGCTCTCCTTTTCCTGATCCAGTGATGCAAGTGTTGCAATGACTGGGAAGAGGGAGAGTTGCAATGGACTGTCAATAGCCTAGTTTGTTGGGTTATGTCTTAGTAGCCTGTCCATTATGCATTGCCTTCGTCTGCCGGTGTAGTCGTTGGGTTCTTATGGTGGTCACCTCTACTGCCATTGGGGTCTTGTTGGAGCTCTATAAGCATGTCTGCCTGATGCGCGCGTGCACACACACACACACACACACACACACACACAGCAAAGATCACTTCCCATTGGCCACCTCGCACATAATGCAATGGCGAGGAGTGTACTGTACTTTAGCGGAGAGTCAGGGACACAAAGAAACTTTGTTCAGGACATGTCCAGAAAATTTGTTTATTTGTGTTAAAACTGGAAATAGATTGTGTTCCCCAGTTGTTGAATAGTATAAAAAATATATTGTTGCGGTATTAAATGTTAACCTCGGAATACCTGTACAGTACTGTATTTAGACTTTGTTTACAGTGAAATGAAATGGTGAATAGGAAAAAGATTTGTGTGTTAGAATTACAATTCTAACAAGTCTGAAATAATGATTAAAGAAAAAATAACATTATGGATTGAGCAGACAACTTTCCTCCAATCATACCTGCTGTCTTCAACATTACACTTCAGATTTTTTTGATAAACAGTTATTCAGAATTATAAAAAAAAATCAGAATCTATGTGTGCTGAGAACTGTAAATCCACCTTCAGTGTAGAACTCTCCAGTGGAAAAATCTTGAAGTTTACATGAAGTTCTTAGGCAAAATCAGTTTTTGTTTCCTGTGCTTGAATAAGTACAAACTATGCCCATGCCAGAACAAGTGTAACTAAGAATTGGCCATCAGCTGTTTTGTTGTTAAGTTAAAAGTACTTGGCATGTACACACAGTAAAAAAAAGTACCGCACAGATTATGAGTATAACAACATGACACAACGGATGAGGGATAGTGGATATGCGTGGGCTTGGTATACCTGTATAGCGCCTCGTAAGATAATTAATGTAATGGTGTTGGTGATATTATGTTGGTCCTGTGGGACATAACTACTGTGGTCCTACCATAGGTAAGTGGAAACCTTTGCCATACAGGCACTCAAACCAACCCTCCTGGCTCATCAGGTGATGTATGGATCATTACGGAAGTCAGCAGCCCCTCCCCGGGGGCGATACATTTTTTTTTACTGTGTGTACAAGCTGTGGCACAAGTGGGCTGGAGGTATGACAGTTGGGCAGGGGGCTCAAAAACAACTTGATGTGAGTGCAGGGGAGCCACTGCAGGTAATGTCCTTCGTGTGTGCTGGCAGAATTTTATTTAGTTGGGAAAGGAATTAATCATAAAGCTTCGTTATGCAACAATTTTGGGCATTCGTATAAAATGACCAAATTGTGTAAGAAAGTTCTTGATTCAGACATTCTGTATTTCACTTCAATTTTGTATGTAAGAAATTTGCAAAGTCAGATACTGTACACACTATATACTGTAAAAACATTAGATGTGGAAAAAATGCATGTTAAGGATTTTGATGGCTATAGTGGGAGTATTGTGTGGAAAATTATACACAGTACAGTTCTCCCCCCATGTATGCAGATTTTAATCGTGCGGAACCCAACTACACGCATCAATGCCATGCAACCCAAATTCCAAAATATATGACGGTCCCAAGTGCGCGGGCGTAAATTTCTGTGCGGCCTGGTCGAGCGAAGGAAGGAGAGAATAAGTGAGCAGAGGAGCTGGCTGTTGATTGGCTGCATGGTCACTACCATCCAATAAGAGACGAGGACATCACTTCCTGGCCATGGTGTCACCAACAACGTGGATGCCAGTCCCAGTCCTCCTCTCCTCAAGACACTACAGCAGCTTGCTTTTTCCTGTATTTTTGAGATGTTTTGGGTTGCTACAGCCAGGCAGAAGAGTGAAGTCGATGACCCTGACACGCAAGGAGATAATAGACTGGCTGGACGATGGGAAGAAAAGTTTTATTCTTATTAAAGGGCTTATTTCTGTTTTATTATTCACCTTAAATAACTATGGTACACATTTAACTGAGGGTAACTTCACTTTGAGGTTATGTGCAGAAAAAGTGCTTTGAAAGACCAGTTTTGGGTTCATGGTGTGTATCTAGAGGGGTCCCAGAACCAATTTTTTTTCCCCAGTAGTTTATAGTACCCAAGTACACGGTTCCCAAGTACGAGTCGCTTCGTTGGCACCAATTACCTGCATACCTGGGGGGAGCACTGTATATGAGAAAGATTGGGCATCAGGTAATAGCTGTTTGGGGATTTTTAGGAATCAATAATTTAGTTCTAGCAGGTTGTGTTAACATAATTTGTATTCACTCATTTCTTTGTATTGATGAATTTTTTAATTTATTTTAGCTGATATATTTATTCTTCTTCAACAGCATACCACAACCACCAGCAGTCAAATTGGTCCAGTCAAACCAGCATTTCCTGCATATAGTCAAGCAAATGGTCAATCCACTCCCAGCAGTCAGTCTTCAGCTGTTAGTGGTGGACTTCAAGACAAAGTGGAGTCTAAGAAACCTGCACTTATCACTACAGTGTCAGTTAACTCCCGTATCATACATCCAGAGGAGGACATATCTCTGGTATGTGGGGCAAGGGAGGAATCTTATCAACATCTCTTCTCACGGTGATGCTTACAATCTCTAATTAGCTAATTTAAGCTACAGTAGAGTATTTTGACTTCTTAGGGGTATAGTGTGTGTTTTGCTATGTACTAACTCCAGTAAATCAGGTAATAAAGATCTCTTTAAGTGATCGTTCAAAAAAAAAGTAATATACTATAATGTAAATGGAATCAAGGGCAGTGACTTTCTTACCTGATCTGTTATATGCTGCTGCCAGTGCACGTTATAATCAGTTGGTGATATACTCACTAATGCCTCAATTCATCTGTAGCACTTGAGTGAGAACGAGTTCTGTATTGGCATTGTTTGTCACATAGTAATGCCACTTTGGTCATGTTGGGGAATGCACTTATCTACTTATCTGACAACTAAAAAGTTAAAAGCCTTTCCCTAGTAATGGGTAGGGCAATGTTGTATATAATGGTGTGTGATCTTGATATATACAGTATATTATGTTCTTGGATATTTGCTTCTTGAAAGTCATTAAAAAATTGATTTCTCCATGCTCAAGGGTTTTGCTCACTTTGCTTCCCCATTTCTCAAGAAAGGTACTTTGAAAGAAGCTAAAGTTCAGGCCTTGCTTTCATTTTGGTTAAGTCAGAAATATGGCCATTACATTCCCTAGTGTTCAAGAATTCAGGCTTGTGTGAGGTATTCGCTGGGTGTATTTGTGCATTAGTATTATTATTATTATTATTTTTTTATGGTGGTGATTATGGTAATTTTAAGAATTATCTTTTTTCAGTATTTATGTCAGGTGGTATATAAGTTAGGAAAGAAATTGTGATATAAAAATTCTTAATACTTGGGATCATATTTCTGAAATTTTAAAGAAAATGGTGAACTTGAATTTGATGTACCAGCTTGATTACATCATATTCTTATCATTTAATCTCCAAAATTATTCCTGAAGATTTTTTGCTCTGGGCATTTTAAATATTGCAAGTCGTGTCACTATGATGTGTAGGAGTAAGACATTATTTTATGAGAAACCTCAGTCAAACTAAGCCAGATTTCAGCAAAAGTAGGAATTCAGCCTTTTCTTTATCAATTGACAGGACATCCAGCTTTGTCATGATTGGTACAATATTATGATTATAATTTTACTTCGGTGAAAGCTGCACTTTGAAATTTGGATTAGTTTTGATGGGTAAATTATTAGTGATAAATAGCAAATGCTTTAGATTAGTTTTAAGCAATTAAAGTGAAATATAGCTGGTGATATTTACAAAGAGGGTTACATGTTTTCAGCTTTGAGCATGTAGCACAGCTGTTTATATTGTATAGGGGGAGGAGGTCACAAGCTTATTTGAAACATAGTGTCAACAATAGATATTTGTTACATTTCAGTTTTTCATAGAGTATTTGAATTCCAGTTTACATAATTTGAAAAGTATGTCCATGATTTTTTTTTACAAGTTTGTGTTGGGTCATAAATTGAACATAATGTTCTGTAACTGATTCACAAATCATTAACCAAAGTGTCATCTTCGAATTGTTTGCAGGTATGAATTGGAATATCCAGTAAAAAGGAAATTCTTTTGTATTGGATACTTTATCTCCACTAACAAGGTCTGTAGGTTAGACTGTGAAATTTTCTTGCACATTTGTGCTTTTGATTTATTTTTTTACTAGCTAACATTACAGTACATTTAGCATATACAGTCATGTTCCGATTAACGTCCGACCGAACAACGTCCGATCGCATTTATGTCCGTCCCCAAAATAGCGCCTGCTGGACCACCACTCCACGACCCTGGCGGAGACACGATGATCCTCCCCATCCTGGTCAGATATTGTGTGTTAAAGGAATATGCCTCCTTACTTAGGCTTTATTTAACAGTTGCCTACAGGTGAAATGTTAACCTACATCTATTGAGGATAAAATCTTTCACCTATTAATTGACAATAACACATTTGCTGTAATCAGACATATCTAGTTACCTCAACAATTGAACCCCATGTTGCAATTGAGTTATTCTGTGGCATTACTAAGAATAACTAAGTCTCTGGTGCACTCTAAGATTAAGAGAAAAGCGGAGGACTCAGGTCCTGATGTGAGAGAAAAGCGGACTCGTATGATGAGGACCAAATAAAAAAAAAGCATACATGTTTTGTGGACTACAGTATTAAGCGTACCCTTTTCATCACTTTGTAATAAACCTAGCCATGCCTATGTGTGTTTATGATATTTACCATAACATTATATATATATATTTAGTGGGTCTAAATGGTCGTAAAATGGGAAACTTGGGGTTGGGTCTTGGTTGCCTGGAACCAATTAGAATAAATCCCATAGGTTCTGTACTTTCGTTATCGGCGGGATCCCAATTAGTAGCGATAACCAAGGGATGACTGTACTGTAATGTATATACTTGTGACACTGGCCAGTTGCTTCTGGTGTTATGGTACAGGGGTACCAAGTGACAGCACTAGGATCCCACTTCCCCTATCAAGGAATAAACAATTGAAATTGAAATTGAATTGCAAATATAGCTTGTTTATACAGGTATTCAAATAAATTACTATCTTACTTGTAAGTTATATTCACCCAGGTCGTTTGGGTGGCAAATTATGAGAAGAGCTTAGTCACTCTTAAGTAATGATAAATAAACCGCGCAGGCTTTCGAGCCAACTGTCAAATCTTATCTCAAATAAATAAAGACATTCTGTCACCTCACCTCTCCCACCCCGTTTCCCCCCTTCCACTCTCGGCTGGTTACCTCCCTCCCTCCCTCCCTCCCTCGTGTTCCCAGACAAAAGATTGGTGATTTCTTTGTTTATTTTATATAATATCTCAGACTAAAGTTAGGATAATATAATTTGCATTGCTGAAATCCTTGCAAGACAGAGATTAATTTAAATATAAGCATCATATATTTTGCTCAAGATATAAAAAATGTAGTACATTAGTGTACAGTACTGTAGTACATTTTATAAAAAGTTTTTCAACTAATTTTGGGTAGATTTACAAAAATTTCTTCATTTATTTTCATCCATTTACATGCACACACCATACTAAAAGAAATGTAAAAGAAATAATGACCTTAGTGCAAAGCTGGAGTGCACATGTACTAATTTGATTATGGTACTAAAATTGTTATGTCTAGTGCGAATTACAACATGTTTATATTAAAATAAATCAGTATCTTACAAGAATCCCAGCAATCTTAATTATATTCTCCCAGGTCATATCACTGGCATTTTAAAGTGAGTGAAGCTTAGTAGGACTGTTAAATAAACACACACAGACCTTCCCCTCAAACTTATCACCTCAACCCCCCACCCCTAATCTGCTCAGCTGGGGTTTATTTGGAGTTTACAGTTTTATCTTGTATAATATCTCAGACTAAAGTTAGGAGATTATAATTTGCATTGCTGGAATCCTTGCAAGACAGCCAATAATTTGAATATAAGCGTCATATATTTTGCTCAAGAGATAAAATTGTTGTACATTAGTGTACAGTACTGTAGTACATTTATAATATAAAATTTTTCAACTGCATTTTTGGGTAGATTTACATAAATTTCTTCATTTATTTTCATCCATTTGCATGCACACACCATACTAAAAGCATAAAAGAAATAAAAGACTTTAGTGCAAAGCTGGAGTGCACATGTACAGGTTGACCATCAAAAATCCGGCAACCGATAAACCCCGGAACCTTCAGTTTTCCGGCATGGATTTTTGTGGCGCATTTTCAAATATTTCTTTGTTTATTTAATGAAGATATATGTTTTAGCTCATAAAATTCATACAAATTACCCAGCCAGAATATAATTTACATTGCTGGAATTCTTACAATTTGATGATCATTTTGAATATAAACATCATAGATTTTCCATTAGACATACAAATTTTAGAGCTAATGTTTACTCTGAGTAAATATGTTATCTTTTGTGCAAAATATATGACATTTATATTCAAAATATTCCTGGTCTTACAAGGAATCAGCAATGTCAATTATATTATCTAACTTAGTCTGAGGTATTATTTATTACTAAAAAGGTAAATACAGTCAATCCTCGCCTTCTGGCGGTCCCATTCAGCGTTTCCACGTTCTGTGGTACCCTGCGAAACGAGAATGCTTACTTTCCGCGTGCGTGTACTTGCTACTTGGGAGGCGGTAGCGAGGCAAGTGTGTACAAGATCGCCCAGTCATCAAAACATTACGAGTTCTTCACCGCCACCCACCACAGCCGGCCCAAGTCAGTGATAGTGATAATTATAGTGAGGATATGGACTTATATGGACTTTGAGGTTTGACAAAGAGGCCCTGCAAGCCTCTGTGGTGGATAGTGATACAATTGATACAAGTGATACAGGTGAGGGCCAATAATCTGCCCTCTGCCTCGGAACAACCCCATCCCGTGTGCCCAGCCATCTTTTCTACAAATGTAAGTGTTAAAAAACCTAATATTATTGATATTTCTCTTAATTATTAATTGTGTGTGCATACCATCATAAAATTAAGAAGTTATTTTTACTACAACATAGGTATTGTGTCGAAAAGGTGGAGTTTGGGGGTCGGCCGGTCTCTATTTCAATTAATCCCATATGTTATGTTGTTCACTTTACGCGTTTCTCACTTCCTTGGGCCGCCGTGGGTTGAATTAACCGCGTAAAGTGAGGGTTCACTGTATTCTGGTTTTCCCACACATTTATCTGGTAGGGAGGGTTGGTGGGGGTGGGTGGGACGACCGACCATCTGGCAAGGTGTGAAGAATATTTTTTTTTCTTAACTGAAGATATTTGTTTTAGTTCATAAAATTCATACAAATTACCCGGCCAGAATATAATTTACATTGCTGGAATTCTTACAATTTGATGATCATTTTGAATATAAACATCATAGATTTTGCATTAGACATACAAATTTTAGATCTAATGTTTACTCTTGAGTAAATATGTTATGTTTTGTGCAAAATATATGACATTTATATTCAAAATGTTCCTG